TATGTTGCTTGTATATTACCTTTATATCATTGTATTGTTATCGTTTTGCCTAAAGTTTAAACTAGGGCATAATAAAAATTATTCATTCATTCTCTCTCTCTCTCTCTCTCTCTCTCTCTCTCTCTCTCTCTCTCTCTCTCTCTCTCTCTCTCTCTCTCTCTCTCTCTCTCTCTCTCTCTCTCTCTCTCTCTCTCTCTCTCTCTCTCTCTCTCTCTCTCTCTCTCTCTCCCCCTCCCTCCCTCTCTCTTTCCCTCTCCCTCTCCCTCTCCCTCTTCCTCTTCCTCTCTCTCTCTCTTTCTCTCTCTCTACCCCCTCCCTCTCCCTCCCTCTCCTTCTCCCTCTCCCTGGTTCCCAAAAAGATCAGTAACGAAAAACTATACAGTTTATAGCACTCTCGGGAAATTCTACCCCTGTTTTATATACAATTCTTTAAAATTCCAGATTTGTTTTTATTAAATACTTACATTTTTTATAATCATCATTATTTTCCTTCTTTTTATTTTCTTCCTTTTTATTTTCTTCCTTTTTAATATTTTTATCTTCTCCGTTCATTACTTTCTTTTAAGTTTCTCTCTCTCCTTATTTTTTAAATATTAATAATCTCAAGAACATCACATGTCGAAAGAGCTTTACCACAACACTTTACTCAGTTCGAATAGAAATACTTAAATTTATTATTCACTTTATTTCTTTCTATACTGTTCGCATAGCCGACAAATATTCATAATAATTTCTAAATTGTCTTACGAAAACGCGAAATGTCTCGAAATGCAAAGCATTTGTATAAAACGTGTCGCCAACAAATGACGTTTCTCATGTACTAAGAAAATCAATACAATCAGTACGAAGTTTGATGTATTGATTTTCCATAAAAACTGTTTGTGAAATTACTAAGCTGACCTGCTATCAATTCACTTTCTTGTCATTATAAGCTGTGTCATTATAAGCTGCTGGTTTCACATATTATATGTCGTTTTGATTTTTATAAAGAAAGAACCCTTTTATCCGATCATCGCCAAATTCAATACCAACCTTCCTTTAATGATACTCGATACTCTATATAAAATTACATGTATAACTTATACACTTTTCAAGCAGAAATCGATAACCCCTTCATCAATCTTTCTTAACCCTTTTTGGTCACACTTCCCGAAAATCCCGTACCGGTCACACTGGGTGAAATACACCCCCAGCGTGTTTGCACGTGTGTAAAAAATTGTAGGTGACCTTAAAAAAAATATCCTGTTGTAGTTTAAATCTTCCTTAAAAAGACTGTATAGGTTTGATTTGCAAAAAATTAATTTAACATATGTAAAAAAATTGTTGAAAAAAAGAAGTCGGAAAAGTGACTTTTCACAAAAACTAATGTAACTTTTTCAATTTTTAAGATATTCTAATTTTTCAAACGGTTTTTTTATCCTTAGATGACGCACTTTTCACTAATTATTGCAGTTTATGCGGCCGTTCCAAAAAGTATATTGATTTTGAGGTTATGATTTTTTGCGGAAAAATATGCCGAGAGAGAACTAACGGGCCGAAAAATATACCACCGACGGGGATCGATACTTGAAGGTCCCAACTGTAGATGGCGGCACAAGGCCCATTTCCATTGGTTTGCTGGGTCGTTTTCGAAGTCAAAAAACGCTGGGGTGTATTTTACCCAGTGTGACTCAGTGTGCTCTAACGTTTAACGTATTCGTGAAAATCGTAAAATTGACCGAAAAGTAAGATTTGCATGCGGAAGGAACGTTTTCACCTCCTTTCGATAGTCGTTAAACGGCTGTTCCCATACTATCTAGCAAAACCACTGCCAAGGGAACGGGCTTGGAAAAATTAGCGGGGAAAGAAGACCCTGTTGAGCTTGACTCTAGTCTGGCACTTGAGCCAGACGCGCACAATTATGTATTGCAATGGTGGTCATTTTGAACATTTATTGTAAAAATTGTAAAGATTAATTTATAATTAAAACTTGTTAAATATGTTTAATTTTTAATTACTGATTTAATTAATTTTTACTAAAACAATTACAATTTGTATTTTATTGCAAACATTTCAAAATATTCCAAAATGCAAACTAAATAAATGTCAAACATAATTCTATTACAATTTATTGGTCTCGCACAGCGTAGCATAGTAAATATCTTCATAGTAACATTGATCGACTACTTTTACAGCTAAAGTTGAAACATGTAAATTTTTTATTGAATTGTTTTTTAGATGTCTTTAGTTCTTTTCATCCATTATTCGTAAAAAAAAACTGTACTATTGCAATGTATGGAAGAGCGAGAAAACATATAAATGACATTGTTATTGTAAATTTATACAAAAATTATAATATCATAAAAAGGGCGCTCCATTCATAGCACTTCTTTCCCTTGTCACTTTGCCATGCCTAAACGCGCGAAATTTCAGCTCTGTCATACGTCAAGTATAATCGTTTCCCGTTTGAAAACTGTTATATAGCCTCGACATTTTTGTATTAGAATTTTTGTCTTGAAATGTTCTACGGAACCTGCCATTAAGAGGAAATACGGCGGTTTTAGTACACCATGTATAGTAGCAGAGCATGTTCTGTTAATTTACATCGTTATTTTATACATCAATGAAAATGAAATAAAAGAAGAAGGCAGTGATAACAAGTACATTAACGTTTCGAAGATATATTTATTTCTTGTTTTTCTCGTTTTTGTTCGTTTATATCATAGTACTGCTTATATTACTATAGCCGATTAAAGTCGCAAATTTACATCGTTTAAGCTTCTGCAGATAACGACAAATCCAAGCAGGATTTTCATATTACGTATTATCTAATAAGACGGGTTCTAAATTTACCTTATTAAACATTCTCTAAACGCAGAAATAGTGTAGCTTGCAACGTATTATGTTGTTATAAAAATTCTATTACATTTTACGCAGAATATCATAAGCTTAAATTCCTTAGATATTTGAATCTTTCATAAATCCCGATAAATGTCTAGATTAAGGGCGACCTCACAGATTTAAATAGCCTAGACATATATTGTCAAGGACATGGCTCTGACTAATTTGTAAAAGTTTTAGCCGTCGCTCGTTGTTTATTACAAAGTTATTAACAAATGTAACTGAGAAATATAACAGTTTGTGTCAATGCTAAGAGAAGTAATTTGCTGATATGTGTGTATAGACAGTAAAAATTAATATTATTTATTTTTAATTTTAACACTGTATATCTCGAAAACTACCCAGTCAGAAAGGTGACGTCGATTTAACGTTAATTGACGTCGAAGAGGTTGACAGCTGGTTAAATCGAATTGATCGACGTCTTCGACGTCGAATCACTGTTGACCGACGAATTTTTTGACTGATTATAGTTGACCCGACGTCGAATGTTGATCTGACATCGACAAATAAATTTATATAATAAAATAATTATTAATATTATATATATAGACAATCCACATATAATATAAATATTATTATAGTCAATTTGAAACAGATATAAAAATTTTCTCTTTTGTCGTCATTCAAAGTGATTCGAGTTATTTATTTTATATATATATGTATATATATATATATATATATATATATATATATATATATATATATATAGTTTAAATAAAACGCGCTATTCTCCGATTTGTTATTCCGGGACAATTTTGTCAATTACTCGCGAACCGCAAATGAAATTATGGGACCAACGCGGCAAAAGGTTTTCAAAGGATCGTATTTCACTATGTTATATCAATTACAGTAGCAAATAAAAATTGCCCACTTACGAGCTTGACTCCTGTCGCTTCAAAATGGTAAGGAAACGGACGCGTTTTCTTTTTTGCTTCCTCCTAAACGAAGCTTTGAGCTGAGATAAAATGTATCTATATTATCTAAAATTGACGTAAGCTTTGAAATTTTGCCACTCACATGTCACTAGCTATCGTCAGCCTTAAACTTGAAGTGCGCACTATTACTCACTGCGCGCTAATCCCCTACTTTTTCCTACACATGTAGGCGGGGAAGGAGCTACTACCTCTCCCCGCAGGCATGAGTGGGAGTGGACCTCGGTTTGCGTGGAAAGTTAAAAACCCGAATCATACAATGATAGATCTCATTTTGTCCAATAAGCAGGGGTGGGATGGGGTGGAGTGGATCTCGCTTTGCGTGGAAAGTACAATGCTGTCTAGAGAACCATCCACGCAAAGCGAAGTCCACCCCACCCCATCCCACCCCTGCTTACAGGGCGAAACAAGGTCTATTATTGTATAGTTCAAGTTTTTAACTTTCTACGCGAACCGTGATCCACTCCCACCCACCCCTGCAGTAGTCCCTTCCCCGCTTACATGTTTACTTTCGGCACGATTACGATAACTGTGGCCCCTTAATTTGACAATGGTTTTTGGTAGAATTTTTTTACGCTGAACAAAAAATTATTTAGGTCTTGTAGGGCTAAATGCTCTACCCAGTGAAAAATGTATAGTTGACCCGACGTCAAATCAATGTCGACAATCTGATGTCGAAATAAATTGAAATTTTGGTTGATTCGATATCGAAGTTGTATCAAATATTAACGAACTTTCAACTGTCGTTTTAACTTTGTTCCAATGTCGAATCGACCTCCTTTCATAACGGTTTTTCTACGTTGATTTGAATCTGATTATACTATACATTTACATATCTCCACTAAATCGGTTTTATAATATCCTCAGTTCTATTATTACTATAGTTAAAAACTAATATGTTTAAAAATGTTGGATCCCTCTATATAATAGTATACCTATGCCCGGGGCATCCATCTTGGGCTACCCGGCATCCGCGAGGGCTCTCTCTTGTAACAGTCAGTCGAGGGTTGGCGCTCAAAGTACAAGTACGAATAAAGAGTATCTGATATTACGCTGAGACCACATGCTTGCTACCCATCCTGATTACAGGTCTCAACAGTGGCGACGAGGATAGTCGAATTCACGCAATAATTCGATTCGGTAAATCGGTTGGCTGTAAATTCCTTCCGCGCATAACATAACCTCAAAATGCCGGTCGACCCAACGATTCAAGCCTTGCTGGATGCAATGGCCAAGCAACAAAAAGCAGCCGATCAAAGAATCAAAGCCCTGCTGAAGCAGATTGCAGCGCAACAGCCAGCGGTCCGGCAGCCAGCGATGCCAGCTTACTCGCTGCACAAGGACCTTGCTGAACGCATGGAAAAGTTCGCTTACAGCGCTGAGGACAACGCGACGTTCGAGCATTGGTATGCGAGGTATGAAACAATTTTCACGGTAGACGCAGCGATGATGGACGATCAAGCGAAAGTCAGCTTACTAACTGAGAAGCTCTCCACCATAGATTTCGATAGGTTCGCGAACACCATTCTTCCCCGCACCAAGGCTAACATTCCGTTCAACGACGCTGTGACCGCGCTCAAGCAAATCTTCGGCCGTAAAGAGTCACACTTTGCTCTCCGATACAAGTGTCTTAAAGTCGCGAAGAAACCTCATGAAGATTATGCCGAATACGCTGCTCGCGTCAATCTCAAGTGCGAGAAATTCAATATCGCAAATTGCTCCGCTGACGACCTCAAGGTGCTCATTTTTGTGCAGGGACTCAACAAGCCAGAAGAGTCGCAAACGCTAGAAAAACTGTTGAACAAGATGGAGAGCCAGGAGATGCAACGAGAGGCGGCAGCCGACGCGGCCAGAGAACTGATCCCCAAACTTAAGCTGGGGGACGTGGTAAATTTTGCATCGCGTTTGAGCAGCCTGAGATTGGAGAAGTCAATGGTGTTAGAGCCAGAAGCTGCAAAGCTGAGCGACGTACTGACAATCCAGCGGAGGCGGCGTACAAAGGGCAACAAGCAGAGTTCGAACAGCAAATTGAGAGAGAGTACCAAGACGACGGCGCTAGCGGGCCGCAGTGGGGAGGCCGTCAAGGCGCGTTTTCCGTGCTGGAGCTGCGGTGAAATTCATTTTCCGAGCGAATGTTCTTTCCTAACCAAGCAGTGCCCGACATGTAAGCGCACCGGCCACAAGGAGGACTACTGCGAATCAGCTGGCCGGAAGCCACGTTTCGGACGGCAAAGCAGCAAAGCGGTAAGCACGATGCCCGTGTCGACTCGCAGATTTGTCGAACCCGAGATTGGCAACACCAAGCTAAAACTGCAACTCGATTCCGGATCTGATTGGACGATCATCTCGTCCGCTAACTGGAGAACTCTCGGATCACCCAAGCTATGCAATTGCGAGGAGCAGGCTTTTAGTGCATCAGGTGACCCACTCAAGATGCTAGGTAAATTCAATGCTCGTTTGAAGTTGCACGAGAATTCCGGACCGTGTTATGTCGCAGCATCGAACCTCAACGTACTCGGGAGCGACTGGATGAAAGCGCTCGACCTGTGGAACATACCAATCGCTAACATTTGCAACTCTTTTATCGCTGTTGATGCAGCGGGTCTGGAGAAGGAAGTAAAGTCGAAATTTCCAGCCCTATTCTCCGATTCGTTGGGCCGCTGCAATAAAATAAAGGCGTCGCTAACTTTGAAACCGGGATCACAGCCCGTTTTCCGTAATAAACGCCCGGTTCCATTCGCCGCGGCTGAGCAAATCGCCAACGAGCTGAAGCGTCTGCAGCTGATGGGCGTCATTAGTCCCGTCGAATACTCCCGATACGCCGCACCGCTCGTCGCTGTCAAGAAAAAAGACGGCAGAATACGGCTTTGTGGCGACTATTCCACTGGACTCAACGATGCTCTTGAACCGAACCAGTACCCACTGAAAACACCAGAAGAAATTTACGCAAAGCTATTTCAATATCGTATCTTCAGCAAAATTGATTTCTCGGACGCTTTCTTGTTGGCCGTATCGCCACTGACAAAAGGCGGGTGTCATTAACAAAAAAAAAGACGCTTTCTTGCAGGTGGAACTCGACGATGAGGCCAAAAAACTGATGACGATCAATACACACTGTGGTTTGTTTCAAGTAAACCGTTTGCAACCCGGCATCAAGACAGCACCAGGAACGTTCCAGCAATTAGTTGACACAATGATGAGCGGTGCAGGTGTATTTTCGCTCATAGACGATTTCATCATTGGAGGAGTCGATGAAGAGGACCACCGAAAGAATCTTTTTGAAGCTCTAAAACGCATTTAGGATTACGGTTTTCACCTTAAGTTCGAGAAATGTTCATTTGCGCAAAAGCAGCTAGAGTTTCTCGGCAATATCGTCGATGCCAATGGCATACGACCGAACCCTGAAAAAATTCAAACACTCAAGCGTATTCCATCGCCAAAAGACATTCAACAACTTCAAGCCTTTCTCGGAACAGTAACATGGTATGGAAAATTTATTCCGCACCTAAAGGATCTCAGAGGACCATTAAATGAGCTGCTCCGTGCTGACGTCAAGTTCGAGTGCCAGCTAGCTCATCAGGAAGCTTTCGAAAAGATCAAGAACGTCCTCACTTCCGATTTGGCCCTTACACACTACGACCCGTCAAAGAAAATCATCGTGGCAGCGGACGCGTCAAGCTATGGTATGGGAGCGGTGCTTCTCCATGAAATTCCAGATAGGACTCGTCGACCGGTCATGCATGCCGCATCCTTATTTAGCAAAGCTGAGAGAAACTACCCACAAGTTCAACGGGAAGCTTTGGCTCTGACGTTTGCAATCCGCAAGTTTCACCGGTATATATATGGTCGCAAGTTCGAGCTCCAAAAAGACCATCAGCCACTTCTTGCCATCTTCGGATCGAAGGGAGGCATTCCCGTTTTCACCGCTAGCCGCTTGCAGCGGTATGCACTTATTTTGCTCGCCTACGACTTTGAGATCCGCTACGTCAACACTAAGAACTTCGCATATGCCGACTTTATCTCGCGACTCATCGAGAAGCATGAGCGATTGGACGAGGACGTCGTCATCGCTTCAATAATTGCAAACGAGAGTACGAGGAAAGAACGAATTATAAACGACCCGAGGAGGGTGAGCAAAAAGGCGAACGGGAAGGACGGAGCTGTGCCGGAAAAGTCTTCCGGTATTCAAGGCGCCCTCGGAATGTATTCTCTAGTTAATGAAGACGCCAGCGCCGGATGCTTTGCCATCAAAACAGCAAGAACCCTTCCGGTCACATTTGAGGTCATGAAGGTCGAAACCAGCGAGAACGACGTGATGAAGCAGCTGCTCTCATACGTCGAGAATGGTTGGCCGCAGCACCCGAAGCAAATCCAAGATACGGCCGTCGCTAAATTCTTCCCTAGACGCGACTCGTTGATTGCCATTGGGGGCTGCATTTTCCTTGGCGATCGCATCGTTATCCCGGATTGTTACCGACATATGATTCTCAAGGAACTGCACGCTGGACACCCAGGAGTGGCCCGCATGAAACTGCTCGGCCGCAGTAAAGTTTACTGGCCGGGCATTGACAATGACATTGAAAGAGCTGTCAAAAGCTGCGAGCAATGCGCCGTTAACTCCAGGACGCCGATCAAGTGCACGCTAAGATCATGGCCGATTCCGAGAGCCCCATGGTCGCGCATCCACATCGACTTTGCCGGTCCAGTAAATGGATTTTATTATTTGGTCATTGTCGACGCGCTTACCAATTGGCCCGAAGTTTTCAGAATGACAGCAGCCACGACGACGAAGACATTGGAATGTCTTGAAGAGGTATTCTCGCGACAAGGACTCTGCAACACGCTGGTCTTGGATAATGGGCCACAATTTGCATCGAAGGAATTTGAAAACTTCTGCATGCAGTATGGTATTTACCACATCAAAACGCCGCCGTATCACCCGCAGTCAAACGGCCAAGCCGAGCGTTTTGTCGATTTGTTGAAGACAGGGCTCAAGAAACTCGATGGAGAAGGAAATGCTGACAGAGTCCTTCGAAGGTTCCTGTTGTGTTACCGCTACACGCCTTCATTTGCTCTCGGGCTGAAGTCACCGTTCCAGCTGATGACGGGCCGTGAAATG